TTAGCTAACTCATCAATTTGATCCATAGTATATGGAGTAATAATTTTATTGGGAGAAATTCCAAACACTCCCTTCGCTGCTTTTATTCCTTTGAGTATTAATTGTCCTACAGCCTCAGGATACCTACTAAGAATAGTGTTAGGAGAATAAGGTAAATGTATCCACAATAATGGACCTTCTTGCCAAAATACTCCTGTAGGAATATTTTTTGTTGGTAGTACAATAAATAATAATGGCAAACTTATATCAATTCTATCCAAATGTATGTTTTCCATATATGTTTCAATAATTTTTAATGCCTTTCTTGCTTTAGGAGTTAACATGCGGGGTGAATTTGGATCTGATGGACCTTTTAGAATATCAAATAAAGGTCCCAACTCTCCTGTTGGTATACCTAGATAAGGCCTTATCCAATTTATGTCTCCCAATAACTTTTGAAAGTCGTTAAGTGATTTGAGTTGATCTACTCGTATTTGAATTTTTGGTGGACGGACCATGGTTGAGGATAGTAGAACTCCTAAATAATTAATTGGAAAATTTAATTGTACTTTATCTATTGCTATCTCTAGATTATAATTTTTTAATAAGTTTGTAAGTGTGGCATAACATTCCAGCAATATGTTTTTATCTTTATGTGCCAATAATACATCATCCATATAGTGAAATATTTGTAGTTCAGGATTTTGATTTCTAAGTGGCTGGATTGCTTTGTTAACATATATTTGACACATAGTTGGACTGTTAGCCATCCCTTGAGGGAGTACTTTCCATTCATATCTCTGATCAGGACCTTCATGATTTAATGCAGGGATAGTAAATGCAAAACGTGGACTATCCTCGGGATGAATTGGAATTGAAAAAAAACAATCTTTAATATCTATAGCTAAAACATGCCAGGTTTTTGGCAAAGCAGACAATTGAGGAATCCCTGATTGAGCAGGTCCCATAACAACCATCTCATTATTAATGGCTCTTAAATCTTGCAACAATCTCCATTTACCAGATTTCTTTTTGATGACAAAAATGGGAGTATTATGGGGAGATATGGAAGGTTGTATATGTCCTTCCGCTAATTGTTGTTTGACCAGATCATGGGCTACTTGTATCTTTTCTTTAGTCAGGGGCCACTGAGGAACCCACACTGGTCTTTCTGATTTCCAAGTAATTTTGATTGTCTCAGTGGCCCTTTCTGAAAATCCAACCCATGTCTGTCTGTTCCTTGATCTATTTGTACTGGTGCTGCTATACCTTGCCCTTGTTTTCCTAATCTTTTTTCTTTCCTAAAGCCTTGTCTAGCTCTAGTAGTGGGCACATTAGGATTGATATTATTTGTTAACGTCAAACCTAATTGATCTAGGACATCTCGTCCCCATAAATTTATAGGAAGATGATCCAATACATATGGCTGTATAGTTCCTTCACATCCTTCAGGATCCTTCCAATCTAATATCATAGAACTTCTATGGGGATTAGTCGCCACTCCTAGGCCTCGAAGCGTTTGAGTGGCTTGTTGTAATGGCCAATGTTTTGGCCATTCTTGACGAGATATGATGCTAAGGTCAGCTCCTGTGTCCAGTAGCCCATTAAACTCATGACCTTGAATATTTAGTTTTAGCATTGGGCGAGAATCTAAATTTAAAGACAACATAGCCCAATCTACACCTGTGGAGCCTAATCCCCTGGAACCTCTTTCTACACTATGACTAGGAAATTTATTATGTAGGCTGGGTATTATTAACAACTGTGCTATTCTATCTCCAGGTGAAATTACTGATATACCTCTTGGAGAACTAGCTATAATTTTTATTTCACCTACATAATCGGGATCAATTACCCCAGGACTTATCATAAGTCCTTTTAATGTAGATGAACTACGTCCCAGTAATAAGCCTACTGTTCCTTGGGGAAGAGGTCCTTTTACTCCTGTGGGAATGATTTGAACTCCCATCTCTGGAGTTAATACTGCTCTGGCAGAGGCACAGATGTCCAACCCTGCGCTCCCTCGGGTTTGTCTGATGAGGGATTTAATGGACAATGTGTCCTGGGCACTACCCTGATGGTGTTGCTGGGATCCTCCACTGCCCCGTATATTTGTGGTTGTGGGCCCCGGAGCATTGGGCCCCCCTGTCCGTTTTTTGGCAATGGAGCCTGATGCCTTTCTCCACGATATCTTGGATAAATACCTGGTCTTTGTCCGTTTTTTGATAAGGGAGTACCTTCTATGGTGGTTTGAGAACGGCATTCATTAGCCCAATGTCTCCCTCTACGGCATCGTGGGCAAATACCCGGTATTCTATTCCTTTGATACCTACTTTTGTTAAACCCTCCTCTTATGGGGCAATTCCTTTTAAAATGTCCTGTTTGTTCACAATCATAGCATGTTTTTGGCCTGGCATCTAAAGCCTGTTGTACTGCAGCTGCCAAGACTTGCCCTTGTTCATTAATATCTCTACATAATTTAATATATGTGTTTAAATCTTCATGTCTCCATGGTCTAATAACCTCTCTGCAGCAACGATTTGCTTGGTCATAAGCCAGTTGTTTTATTAATGGCATTGCTTGTTCTGTATCCCCAAAAATTTTGGCAGCCGTTTGAATTAGCCTATCTACAAAGTCAGCGTAAGGTTCATTAGCTCTCTGTATTACCTTAGATAGCTGACCTTGTAAATCTCCATGTCCTTGTAAAGTCTTCCATGCCCTAACTGCGTCTGCAGCAATTTGTGCATATATAGCAGGATCATATTCAATTTGTTGCCGTTGACCCTCATAAGGTCCTTTTCCTAACAACATATCTAGATTTCTTTGAGGGTAACCGGCTGCTGCATTTCGCCTAGCTGTCTCCGCACAAAATTCCTCATTGGCAACCTTCCATAACAAATATTGTCCTCCATTTAGTACAGATTTACACATGCTAGCCCAATCTGCTGGCGTCATGTCCAAGTTAGTAATGGACTCGACCATGCTTACCGTGAAGGGAGCTTGGGGCCCGTAGGTTGTTACAGCCTCCTTTAACTGCTTCACTGTTTTAAAATCTAAAGCACGGTGAATTCGCTGCCCTCCTGCCTGTTCAAGTACAGGGCATGCTAATCTTTGAGGTCCTGTCTCAGGATCCCATTTATCAACTACGGGGTTTGAGGGCCACTCAGCTGTCTCCATCGGTGGGGCTGTTGGTTGAATTATGCCCTCTTGTGATAAAATGGAGTTAGTAACAGCCTCCTGTTGTGGCCTTTTTCCTAACAACCCCTTTTCCTTTAAATTTTCTTCCTCTGTCTGACTAGCTCGAGAGACCTTCTCTTTTGCTTGATCTAAAATGTCTTTCTCCATGGTCTGAACCTCTAACAATTTACTTAACATCTTTTCGGTTTGTTTTTTACTAATTTCTAATCTACTATAAAGATAACGCAACCCAATAAGATAGCACAAAACAAAGCCGAAACTGAATGAAACAAAAACGGAATAAAAAATCGTTGTATCAATTTTCTCTTCCTCAGGGCCGACAAACTTCAAACCTTTAGTCAACCATTTTTTCCAGTTTGCCTGAGAAATTTCTAGGGATAGGCAGCTTGAAACAAAAACAAGATAAATCAAAACAATAACACATTGTTTTTTGAGTTGGTCACCCATTCTTTCGCTCTTCCTCAGGGGCGAGCAATTTCACTTACCTCTAAGCTTCAGAAGTTCCCCGTACGAGCCGCCAAATGCCGCAGTCTGGCTGGGCACAAATGCCGCAGTCTGGCTGGGCACACAATCACGAGCCACCACACAGCTTGTAGATTCAAACAGCAACTCTTTATTCCAGAACTCACACCAGCCGTCTACAATCACGTTCTGGGGAAATCCACGTTCTCTGCCCAAATCCACGTTCTCTGCCCAAATCCACCTCCCCTGGGCTTCTATCTCCAAAATATACTGTCTGAATCCCGTGAGAACTCAAGGGGAACTCAGGCAGCAGGATACGCCCTATTCCCAGCAGGAATAATCTTAAACCTTAAACCTGGAACCTAAACTGGGAACGCCCTAAACAAGATTATCTTAAAACCGGGAACACCCTAATCTGCCTTGGTCCTTGAGCAAGGTTAAGTACATTCAATGTCACTGCAACATGGGGTACGCTGGCAAGGAAATTGTCATACTTACTTGGCTAATGGCTCCCAGCAAAAGGAGACTCCAAACCTGCCAGTGCCTTGATCTTGGACTTCTAGAGTCCAGAACTATCTGAAAATAAATCTGTTGTTTAAAGTACCTAGCCTGTAGTATTTTGTTGAGTTCATACTAGCAAACTAATGCACACTCCAGGGCCTTCATCCTTCTTTTCTCCCTGATAGGCAAGTCATTGCAGAGGGAGAAGAGGGAAGGGTCTGAGGGGAGCTCATTAGAGCACAGAGGGCCAAGTGCAGCATTTCCTGGCTCCTTGTAAAATCTTTGAGAAAATGCATTGTGAGCTCATTGGGAACTGCCCTGGGTTATTCTTCCCAAGAAGGGAGATCAGTGGAGTGGAGGAAGGGAATCGGGGGGGAGGGAGGAGGGGTGGGAACAGGGAGGAACTGTGGGATGAAACTGATCAAATTATGCTATATGCATATATAAATATACCACAGTGAATTCCACATTTATGTATATCTAAAGAATACCAATTAAAAAGAATAATAAATAAATAGAAGGAGTAAAGGAAGAGAAACAGGAAGCGGGAAAGAGAAAGTACTGGGGATTAAAATGAAACAAATTATATTCTACGCATATATGATTATGCCAAAACGTATCCCACTATTATGTATAACTATAATGCACTAATAAATATTTTTTAAAAGAAAGATACTAATAGAGGGAGAAAAATAGTCTTAGATTCTGAAAGGATGAAGCCTCAATCAGGCTGGAGCCAGTGTAAAGATTTTTATAACTTGTGTGTATGCATGCATATGTGCAGGTGTATATGTGTTTTTATATGTTCATAGGGAGGCAGACCCAAGCTGCAGTTTCTTAAAGGAGGGTAAAGTTATGATTTCACCACATGGCGTACACTCTAATGCCCTGGATGGGGAGGGAAGAACTCTGGAATGTGTTTCAGGTTCTACTGTCAATTTGCCAATCCAGTCTTAAGCAAATTGCTTCACCTCCATGAGCTCTGGATTCTCATTTGTTAAGCTGTCAGCCTGTTTCAAGTGATTCCAGGAGGATCCAAGGAGTAACAAGAGAGGTATTGCTTTGAATACTTAAGAACATTTCCTAGTAGCCAGGGATTATTATTATTAGTTTTCAGTTCAGTGCAAAGCATTTCAAATGTTCAGATATCCTCCACAATGAAACTGTGTCAGGCCCAGCCAGGCTCATAGGACAAAGGATCGAACACAGAATGGTTTCAAATCCCAAGGGGAGTAGCCAAGCAGAAGATGCTAACAGGAGATGGTCTCTATGACCCTAAGAGGTCAGCTATATAATGGGTATAGGTCTATATACCAAGGTGATCTGAGGAAGCTGTGATTAAAGGGCCTTGGGGAATCAGAGAGGGTTTCATAGAGGGAGTGAGGATTGGCAGAATATGATAGGGGGAAGGGAAAGTTCTAGGGGTGGGGAATGCAGCACTCTTTGTGGGAGGGTAGGGGGATGGTACCTGGACAATGGAGACAGGAGACGAATGATGCCTCACCAGAGTTATACGTGGTAAAGATTAATAAAAAGGAGAAAACAAGAGTAACCAGGTTAATTTTTGAGTCCTTCCTGGAACTTACCCAGCCCAATGGTTAATCTGTTTGACCCCTTTAGGAATTCTTGGACCCCATCCCAGGTGTATGCAACACAATCTGAGAATCCAGAGCAGTCCAGAGCAGAGCAAGGGAGGACCTTGGAGGTCACCCTGACCAAGACTGATCCTGTTTCAGAGGCAAAATGGAGACCAGGAAAGGACAAACAGATTGACTGAGGTATCAAAGAGAGTTAATTGGCAAAACAGGAACTTGAACTCAGATATCTGGGGACCAGAGTCTTGGACATTTTCTAGATCCTTATCTAGGTCTGGAAAGTGGATTGGTTTGGGGGGCTTTTATGTAGGGTTGGCTAATGTTAAAATTTGAATCCTGCGTTATTAGTGTAGTTATGTGAACTTGTTGATTGTTTTGGGGGTACAGAGCTGAGGTTTGCAAACATGCTAAGTTTCTGCAAATAACCAAGGTAGGTAGTTCCTGGGCCTAGGCATTTCAGGGGTCATAAGAAAGCCCTTTGTATTCCTACCTGGTAATGGATAGCCACTGGAAGACTTTTGTACTTATAGGTATGGCTGGTACTCTGAAGCATGTGGATGACTAGAGTTTAGATGTCATTCTGAGACTAAACAAATCATAAGGATTTTCACACCAGGGGATTATATGTTCATGTGTTAATTTTGAGAGTATCTGGCAGCAGGTGAAGTAACTGGAAGCAGGGAGGCAGTTAGAGGGTCAGTCAGATGTGCACATTTGCAACCCATCAGCTCATGTGACTGATGATATGGTTTGAACCAAGGTAAAGGTCAAGGCCAGTAGAGAGGAGAGGACAAATTCAAGAATATGTTTAGCAGGTCTTTAGCTTGGGCAAGTATTTGATTGTGCAGCCGCTGATCAGGGAAGAGGAAGGAATTTAGTTTGAAAAAATAATGTGTCTTAATTTATCCTAAAGCTGTGCTGACTTAGAAGGAGGAGCATTCATAGTAAACTGTAATCAACTGATGAAAATTCATTATAAACAGGGTGAGCAGATCTTCTTCTGAGAGCCAGTTTTGAAAGGGAAAGAAAGCATGAAGTTATTTAATGCTACAAAACGATAAGAGTGAGCAGGGAGACACAACCTTTACAATCTCATGTGGAGGTTTGGAGTTTAGTTTTAAAACCAGGCAGATTTGTTTCTTTTTTTTTTTTTCTGGAAAGTGCTGTGGATTGAGTTCAGGGTCTTGCACTTGCTAGGCAAGTGTTCTACCACTGAGCACACACCTAACCCCCCGCCTACCTTTCCTTATTAAAAAGCAGTATGAAGCAGGGTATCTAACTCAGTGATAGAGCGCTTGCCTCACATGTGTGAGATCTTGTTTTTCTAACAAATCCCAGGTGATGCTAATGCTGCTGGTCCAAGGACCACATTTTAAGAACAACTACTATAGAGAGCTTGCATTAGTTTTCTAGGCTTATCATAACAAAGTACCACAAACTGAGTATTTCAAACAATAGAAAATGATTGTCTCCCAGTTCTGGAAGCTGCAAGTCTGCAATCAAAGTCTTGTCAGGATTGGTTCCTTCTAAGGGCTGTGATGGAAGGCTCTGTTCTCTAGGCTTGGTATTCTTCATATATGTGTATCTCCATATCCAAATTTCTTCTTTTTATAAAAACACCATCCACATGGGGTTAGATACTACCCTAATGACCTATTTTAACTTGGTCACTCCTGTAATGACTCTATGTCCAATTGTCACGTTCTGAGCAACTGAGGGTTAGGATTTTAATATTTTAATTTGTTATGGGGTGGGCAATGGGAGGCACAATCCAAAAGTATAACAGAGACTGCTATGCATTTGGAAATTTGAAGCAAGGGGTACCTTCTTTTTGAGCCCCTATGTACAAGAAGATCTTCATTCTCTTGCTTTTGAACTTTGGGTGAATGTTGGCCTAGATGAAAGTTTCTGGGATCTGTAGGCAGGAGTCTTAGCTTCTATTCCTGGTCTGTTGACACCTGTTAGGGGACCTTGATAAATCATTTGTCTCAAGGTCTTAGTATCACCCTGGGTTTTAGTTAGCTCTGACAATCTGGGATTCCCATGTGGCAAGGCAAGGTTAACTTTTTGTTAGTTCTTGGCATCCAAGCTGCCTTGTAGACCCTAAATTTGTGTTAATAAGACTAAGGATGGTCCTTTGCTGGATCAGTCTTTGGTCCTTGCTGGACTCATTGATTTTTTTTTCTGTGCTTTCTTTATCAATTTTCATTCATGCATGCATCCATTCAACAAATAATTACTGAGCATCTGTGGTGTAGCAGGCATTGTGCTCAACAGGACAGAATCTCAAATCCACTGAGCAGTCTCTTGGGGAGATAGACATATAATCAAACAAGCAGAAATACATTTGATGAGAAGTTTAGCTGCTGTTAATTTTTTTTGAGAGTTCATTAGGTTGATAGAACTCTAGTACTTTATGTTCATTTTTAATTTTTTTATTTGTTTCTTTGTTTTTTCTGGAAAGTGCTGTGGATTGAGTTCAGGGTCTTGCACTTGCTAGGCAAGTGTTCTACCACTGAGCACACACCTAACCCCCCGCCTACCTTTCCTTATTAAAAAGCAGTATGAAGCAGGGTATCTAACTCAGTGATAGAGCGCTTGCCTCACATGCAAGGAAAGGGGTCATCTCATGCCATCCTTCTTCCTTCTCCTTTTTCATCTGCTCTGCCTTTCTGTTTCCTCCAATTTATGCCCCCTTAGGCCCCAGATGTCTCTCTTCCTCTGACTTCTCGTATGACTGGTTCTTTTTATTCTTCAATACTCAGCAATGTTAAGGGAAGGACCTTGATTAATCTAGGCCAACCACAGAGCCTTACACAAAGTAGCTGCTCAATGCATGTCTGTCGGATGAATAAATTAACAGTGGCTAAAATTCAGGAGTGAACCTGGGGGAAATGAGGTACATTAACATTAGAGGGATCTGGAGAGAATCAGAGGACAGAGCAGTTCATTCCACAGTTGGAGGGAGGCACTCATGATTTTTCTTGCTTATAGTGATATCAATAATGACAGTGTAAGAGTCAGAGTACCTGGGCTCATATTGTCCCCTTTTTAATTGTGTGACCATGGGTAAATATCTCAGGTTCCTTATCTGTAAAGGGGCTAATAATAGTATCTACCACTCTGTGTTGTTGTGAGAATTCAATGAGATGATTGATGCCTGTATAGGCTGGCACAGAATAAGTGTTTAATAAATATTAGCTATTATTTTTAATTAAATATTACTTTATGCCAGGCATCATGCAAAGGGCTTTCAAATGCCAAGTTCTTGAGTAATCTTCACAATAAATAATCTGGTGAAAAAGGAATTTTATTTCCCCAAAACTCATGTTTCATGGCTGAGGAAACAGGCTCAGAATGAAATCATAGAATCATACATTGACCCAAAGGGAGGTGGAAACACTAGGAATTAAGCACAAGTTTGCCAGATTTTAATGCCTGTGCTCTTAACAATTGCACCACACTGAACCCTATTCCATGTCTTGGAGTCCTAGCAAGATAAAGAAAACCGGTGGCAGAGGCTGGTCAGAACCTAGGGGTCCTGCCCAAAGTCTTTTTAGCTCCCCTGAGTCTGCAGAGGGCCTTTCTGAAAAGGCAACAGAAATGGTATCTCCAGGTGAAGGGCACCTAAGATTAGTCTCTGTACCTCTGACTGTGAAGATGGAGCAGGAGACCTGGGAGACCTTGTGACCCAAGAGCCTGGTGATCCACACCAACCTATAGACCAGAATTTTTATAATCAGTCATCACATTTTCTTCTGATATCTACAACCTTTGAGTGGGATAAGAGACTTCAATTAGAACACAAATTATCCCTTTGGACAATTAATCGTTAATTATCTTCCCACTCAGCAACCTTGGTTGATACTACGATAAGAGGAAATAACTCTTGACTTAATTGGTTGACAATGAAGTCTCCTAAGGAAACAGTATTTTGTATGTACATAGATAAACTTGCACACTCCCTCTCAATTGCAAACACGTGCCTTCCATGGCACCTGGCTATATACTCTTGGGGAACATAATGACCTTGCGAGGAAGTGGCCCCATGTGCAAGGACTCTTGTCTACCCAACTATGCTCACACAGAAAACCAAACAACAAAAAATCACACACACAGAAAAACAACAAAAAATTGAAAAAGAAAACCTGCCAGACCTTCAGGTGACTCTTAAATTTGGAAAGACAGAGACTAAGCAAAAAGCAAGAATAGTAGTTTCCATTCATGGAATGCTTACCAAATGCTCAGAATTGTGTTAAACACTTTACATATACTGTCTCACTTAATCTTCATGACAACCCTATGAAACAAATAGTAGCACCCCAATTATTTCCCACAGCAAGCATGGTAAAACCCTGGTGGCCCAATAATGTGTATAAACAACAGAGTTTGCTCAAGGTCACACAACTGGTAAATCACCAAAGCAGACATTGAATGCAGAGTGTTCCCATCTTAAACACTAAGATCTTTTCCATTTGCATTTTGTTAAAGAAAAACATTCTTCAATGACACTTTTTAAAGCAAGGTAAGGAAGACTTTTTTTTCCAGCTCATGGTGGTAGATACAGGGAACACTGCAAAGGGGTTTTCAGCAGGAGATTGGACTCAACTCTGAATGCAGCATGGGCAAGTGAGAATTTATAGCCAAGGAACAGGATAGGGCTCAATAGAAGGAACATTACTAAGAAACATCAGCGGTAAGGTGGATACTGGCTAACCTAATCTAATGGATTTGTGTTGAAGATAGGCCTGAGGATCAGACATTATCTAGGAAATGACGAGGATGAGGAACCTGATCACAGCAGAAAATGATCAGATAGAGCAAGGGTGAGGAATTCTTGCAAAAAATGACTTAGCAGAATTCTTTGCTAAAACTGGATTTTATAAGGAAGTACACAGGTGGACTTAGAAAAAGTTTCAGGAACCTGAATAAAGTTTACACATGTGAAGAATCTTTATCAATTTCCATGGCAGAGACAGAGGGATGAAACATGAATTTATTTTTTGCCAAACATTATCATTCTCAGCTTTGAAGATGCAGCTATTTTTTAAAAAACATTGTGGTAAAATAAATACAAAATAAAATTTATTTAAGCTATTTTTTTATATTAACCACTTTTTAATTTTTCTTTTTTTTAACAGGACTCAAATGTTATTTGAGTTGAGAGTTTGGGACTGAATCTTCCTGAGACAGCAGATATTTTCCTTTGCAAAATTCCAGCTCAGTGACTCGATGGAGAAAAGACAATCTATACTTTAAAATGTAAATGTCATACCATCTACAACATTCCACAATATCTAAAAATCTTCTGGCCTGTTGGGAGACAAGTGATGTTCTTCTCTCAGTTCCCGACAGCTGGGAGGCCCAGATTTGACAAACTGCTGATTCCACCCCTTTATACAGAGAATTGTTGATTGAGTCATCTACATTCAGGATGAAATATTGTTTCTAATAAATATGGGGTTAATTTACATTATAACAGTAAATTTCTTCCAATTCTACCAATATACAAATTAATGAATGATATATATATTATCATGTTTTTTTAATAATTATTTTTTAGTTGTAGTTGGACATAATACCTTTATTTTATTTATTTTTATGTGGTGCTGAGAATTGAATCCAGGGCCTCATATATGCTAGGTGAGTGCTCTTCCACTTAGCCACAACCCCAGCCCTGGTTTTTGTTTTTTTATACTTTTTATCCCTTATCTTTTTTTCTTTTTAGTTATACATGACAGTAGAATGTATTTTGACATATTATACATATGTGGAGTATAACTTATTCTAATTAGGATCCTATTCTTGCAGTTGTACATGATGTGGAGTTACCCTGGTCATGTATTCAAATACAAGTCTAAAAAAGTTATGTCTGATTAATTCTCCTGTCCTTCCTATTCCTCTCCCCCTCCTTTCCCTTTGTTTCCCTTATGTCTAATCTAATGGACTTCTACTCTTCCCCTCCCCATCCTCCTTTGTTGTGGGTTCGAATCCACATATCAGAGAAAACATTCTGCCTTTGTTTTTTGGGGATTGGTTTATTTCACTTAGCATGATTGTCTCCAGTTCCATCCATTTGCTGGAAAATGCCATAATTTCATTCTTCTTTATGGCTGAGTTGAGTAATAGTCCACTGTGTATATATACCACATTTTCTTTATCCATTCATCCATAGCTTGGCTATTGTGAATTGAGCTGCTATAAACATTGATGTGTCTGCATAACTGTATGCTCATTTTAAGTCCTTTGGGTATAAACCTAGGAGTGGGATAACTGAGACAAATGGTGATTCCATTCCAAGTTTTCTAAGGAATATCATACTGCTTTCCAGAGTGGTTGTACCAATTTGCAGTTAGTTAGTTATTCTATTTTCATTTATTATTAGTGCATTATATATATATATATATATATATATATATATATATATATATATATATATGTTCATTTTGACATAATCATACAAAAATGGAATATAGTTTGCTATGCTTCAGTCCCCAGTTCTTCCCCTTTCCATTTCCTCCTCACTACCCCTGTTTCTCTTAGTCTATTCTATTGGTCTTTCTTACATTTGTTTAGTTTTTGTTTGTTTGTTGTTACTGGGGATTCAACCCAGAGGTGCTTCACCACTAAGCCACATCCCCAGCCCATTTTATTTTTTAATTTTAAATCAGGGTCTCACTAAGTTGCTTAGGGCATCACTAAATTGTCTAGGCTGGCCTCGAACTCACAATCTGCCTGCCTTAGCCTCCTGATTCGCCAGGATTACAAAAGTGTGCTGCCTTGCATGGCTATTTTTAGTTTTTTTTTAAATTAGTGCCTTAACCCAAACCATTTTTAATTTACAAATAGACCTGATTAGATCTTTGTTATTGTGTTTTGTGGTGCTGGGGATTGAACCCATGCATACTAAGCAAGAGATCTATCACTGAGCTATATCCTCAGCTGTAGCCCAAATCATTTTTAAATGTATTGACCAGTAGTATTAAAGTACACTCACAATGTTGTGCAACTATCATTCCTATTTCCAGAATATTTTCATCATTCCAAACAGAAACTCGGTATCCATGAAACAATTCAACTCCACATTACTTGCCCTTTTTCTAGCACCTAGCATCTACGACTCTACTTCCTATCTCTATGAATTTGACTGTCTTAAGTAACTAATATAATGTTGAATGTTTTCAAGATTCAACTACATTGTAGCATGTATCAGAATTACCACCTTTAAGTTAAAAAGCCAGAAAGCCATGTCCTTTTTCCAAGCAAAGAGTTCACATGGAAAATATCCCAAAGTGGCTCTGTAATCAGAAAATCAAACAGGTTCAGTGCAGGTTTTGACATAGTCTAGATGAGAATTTTTGAACAGGTTAGAAATAAAAAATTCAGGAGATTTGGGAAAGATGTTCACAAATAAGGACAGCCAGGATTTTCCCTGGTCCTTGACTCAGCATCTTTACCTGAGACAACCTTAATCAGATGCTGTTCCTTGCTCTAATCCTGGCAGGCTCCTTTTAGGAGTTAGGAGGCTCTAGTCAAGAATTCATCTTCTCTCAGGTTGCCCTGAGGCCCCAAAGAAGTCAGTACGATGTAATGGAAACAGCCTTGGAAAGGGAGAGCTTCAGTCTGGCTCTCTTGTTCATCACGGAGATTTTTACAAGACACTTTCTGTCTTTGACCCCTGTTTTCTGCATCTACAGAGAACACAACCACAGAGTGTTGTTGTGAGGATCAAGGTGAAATTAGAGATGTGAAAGGAGCTTTCTCTGTACTCACGGAACTTACCGGGTTTCTATAGGGACTGAGTCTTCTGATTAAGTAGTGGATACTTTTTACTCCTACCATCCGGCAGAATTTAACTGAGGGTAACCAGACTCAGGCACCAGGCTCCAAATTGTCCAAGAAACTCTATGAGATAAGAAGTTACCCCTCTTACCTCAGACTTGTTTGTAGACTGGACGAGGAGAGAGGTTCAAGAGAGGAGGTTGTGAGATCCTTTCTCAAACTACCCAAGAGTCTGAGAAGAAGGTGGTTCAAGTGAGAGAGAAACAAGGATGCTTGAACCATGGAAGCTCTAATATCCTCATTTGTAAAATGGGTGATGATGTCTTCATTTTTTTTATTTGTGTGTATGAGAGAATTAATGAGATAAGAGAACAGTGTCCCATAGTAGAAAAAGGCACCGAGTTAAAGATTTTGAGCTTGTTGATTGACTTAGAAAAGGAATTATGAGGTAGGGGGAGAAATTATTCATCCTGTCAGCTGGAGGTACTACCCTGGAAGTTTTCTTCGGAAAGGGAATACAACTGTCTTACCCTCACCATGCCCCACAGTATCTGAAACATAGAAGATTCTCAATAAATACATGTTGAATCAAAGAATGAACTAACCAGACTTGAAAAATTATAGTAAAGCCAAGTTATTGGGTTTTTTTCCTGATGTTTTTCCCTGTATCTGTGAGGTCCCCTTTTCTTTCCCACCTCTGCTCTTCCCAGAAAACATTAGGAGGACACTACTTAATGAGAAACAGTAGAGAGTGATAGAAAGAGTCCTTGATCAGAAATCAGGAGACCAGGTGTTGTGGTTTAGCTTTTCAATGTCCCCCATGTACCCACAGGCAAAAGGCCTAGTCGCCAGCCTGTGGTGCTGTTGGGAGACAGTAGAACCTTGAGGAGGTGGGGTCTAGTGGAAGGAAGTTAGATCACTGGGGACATATTGAAGGAGATATTGGGACTCTAGCCCCTTCCCCTCTCTCTTTTTGCTTCTTCCCTGCAATGAGATGAATGAGTTTCTTCTACCATGTGCTTCTGCCATGAGGTACTGCCTCTCCACAGGTCCAAAAGCAACAGGGCAAGTGACCCTGGACTGAAACCTCTGAAACCATAATCCAAAATAAAATTTTCCTCTTTGTAAGTTGTTCATCTTTTGGTGTTTTGTCACAGCAATAGAAAACTCACTAACACAACAGGTTTGGTTTTACCCTGGCTTTGACATTCGATAATCATGGCCCTGTCCCTTCTCTCTGGACTCGTGCTTCTCATTATTAATGTAGCAAAACGACATTCAGTTTTGTTTTGATTCTGATTTCCCAGATTTTAGGCAACACACGGACTAAGGTGATGATGTTACCTTAGTAACAAAGATATTTGCATTTAAACACAGTCCAGAGGAAAGAAGAGCTAGTGGTGAAATTCTGGGCATCCTGAGTGGCTGGGTAAGGTATTTATCTGTCACACCCTCCAGGAAAGTACAGACAGATGAATTCTGAACTCAGCCCTCGAAACTTGCCAGCTATTAAATTCAGCCCTGACTCATGTTCAGGGAAGTCACAGAGTATGCTGTGGAGCAATCCCTGGGAGCAGAGCCTCTTGCCTGATTTGTCTGAATCCCTGGAGTAGGGGTGTGAATAGGCCTAGATTCCTGGACATTCCCTGGGACTTCACTTGGGATAAGTAGGACTTTTGGATAAAAGGAAAGGGCTTCAGGGAAGGGTTGGTCATTGGAGAGGGAGGAAGATTGGGTTTTGTCCTCAGACTACCATTTATTAATTGTGTGACTTGAGGAAGTCTCTTCTCTCTGGGGACAAGTTCCCCATCTGTTATATAAGGGATTTGAATCTTATGGTCTCCCTGCACACTTTGGCCACTTGAATCTTCCTATTGCTCCAATACATCATAATTTCTCTCTGCACTGGACATTTGTTTAACTGGGACACTCTGTCACCCTGCTCACCAGGCTCACTCCTTCATGGCATATCCTTAAGGGTCCAGGCTACCTACTTGGAAGAGAATACTGAGTAGAATACAATATGGTGGGGATTATGGAAAATTGGAGAGGGCATGTTTTACTGATACTATTCAAATACTTTTAAAAGTTTTTTTTTTAATTGTTGCAAATATGTACAACAAAAATTACTATCTGGACTATTTTTACAGCTTAGTCATCATGTTAAACACATTCAAAATACTGTGCAACTATCACCATCATCTGTTTCCATAACTATTTTTTATCTTGTAAAGCTGAAACTCTGTACCCATTAAGCACTAACTCCCTCTTCTCTGTGTCCCCAGCCTATGGCAACCACCATTCCGCTTTTTCTATGATTTTGACCACTCTCACTAGTTCATCTAAGTGGAATCAAACAGTATTTGTCTTATTGTGATTGGCTTGTTTCTTGAGGACTTAGCATAATGTCCTCAAGGTGTTATGAAGTATGTCAGAATTTCTTTTCTTTTTAAGGCCAAATAGTATTCCATTATATGCATATTCCACATCTGTTGATGGACACTTGAGTTACCATATTTTAGCTATTGTGAATAATGTTGTTATGAACACAAGCTACAGTACCTCTTTGAGATCTTGCTTTCAGTTTTTTCAAGTATATAGCCATGTATTAGACTATTTTCTGTTGCTATAATTAAGTATCACAGTAACTGGCTCACAGTTCTGAAGATTGAGAAGTTCATGACTGGGC